TTCCTCGGAACTGTATGTGTCGCCTGCATAAAGTGTCACGGTCACCCAGAAATCGAACTGGATGTCAAAACTAATCTGTACCCTTCCAACAAGAAGCCATATACCAAATTTCATTTCTATAACTCAAAGCATAACCAAAGAAAGTCCAGAAAACAATATTCCCAGAGAATTTTCTAAGTTCAAAAATTACTCTGCCAAGAAGAGTCACAGACAGCCGGAAATCGAACTTAATCTCTACCCTTCCAACAAGAAGCCATATACTAAATTTCATATTGATAATTCAAAGCATAACTGAAAAAGTCTGGAAAACTTTCGTACGGACGCCGCCGACGCGTGACAAAGGACAAAGTGATCCCTAAGTGTCCGTCAGCTCTGCAGGCGACACAATAAGACCATGGTGTCTGGTAATCTCTTTTTCAAATGTAACTTCAATATTTATCTAGTTATGAATCCAGGAATCAACAGTTTTATCAAGGCAACCTTGGTACTCTCTCAGAAACACCAGCAACAATATCTTTATGTACAGATTGTGTGACTAACTGAATGAAGGATTCCAGAACATAGACAAAGAGAGCTGGGAATAAGCCATTGTGTTGTAATGTCATACCCTTGTCTTAGACTGCTATAAACTGAAGCAATGTCACAAAGCATTGACTAATATAAGATATGCACCATGTGATCTACATATGTTGATAGCCAATCTCTACCGAGGTCTACAAACACAAAAATACCTACAGTCCCCCAGAAATTGTTCAAAAGCTTCAACTGAAAAGGATCCAGTGTTCTATACCTCTTAATACACCTATATAGTTATTGTTATGACATGGATGTAATGCTCTGACATCCTTAAACTATCATCCAGTGATGAATTTTAGCCCCCAAAGCCTCCTACATTATCACCATGATAGATTACAGCTTGTTCCCCTATACACCTTAATCCTATAATCTGTTTCCCACAATATAAACAGTTCATCCCAAATTGAATCCTACATTGAAACTAATCAAAGGACATATAACAATCATAACAAAGCTTACTGTGAGTGTACTTCATTAGCCACAATAAAATTTTAGCACATAATCACTTTTCAGTAAATAAGTGCAAGGATGACTTCACACATCCTTCCTAAATATCACAATATCAGTACTATAATAGGATTACTGTAAATATATGTAATTACAGTATCTTTTTATCAGTTAGAACACTGACCTAAAAAACATTAGATTCCCAATTCTACCTACTGTTTACAAATTAATAATTTTATATGATAAAAATTATGTTACAATTATGTAAACCAAATAGAAACTATCTATTTCATTACTGATATGTAAGTATCCTATTTACAAAATAAGTTGACATTCTTAGTTGAAACAGACTATATCTTTAGCTTCAAAGGATTCCCTATATAAACACCATCCTTTCAAGTTGGAAGAGTTGGTGTTCGGGGAATGATCAATTACCAACATTTTAAAACAAATTATCTCATAACATTGGGTCCTATCACTTGATATAACAAGATATTAGTAAAAAAACATAACTGAAGCTGTTAGTACATGTACAAATGTAATACATGTAATTACAGACTCTGATATGCCTGCTCTGTGTCCAAAATTTAATATTAAACAAGAACTTCAATGCCATACCAATACATACAAAGTTATATAACAATGAGATAAGATAGGTTGTGAACACTTGAAAATAAAGGGTATATGCTACACTGCTAATTTCACAATTATATATTCCATGGTTCCATAGTTATGTAATTAGTTTTATCATTTTTCTTAACTTTCATTGATGACACACTTCAAAGAAAGATGAATTTTGTATATAAACATCAAATAATGACTATCTAAATTGTAAGATAGCTCAAGATATCCCGCCCATGTCTAGTAATAAACCCATTTATATTGCAATTCAGCAGAAGTACAACCAAATGATGTTCCGTTATCCCTGTATAAGCTTCTCTTCCACTTTGATTCGAAGATAATTGCTGAACATATACAATATATATGTACAGTAGTACATAACGTAAACATAGTATAAAAACTTCTGTAATATTAGCACATTTGAATTCCACCAAACATTTATACACAAAACATGTAAGGAATCTACAATGCAGTACCTGAAAATCTACAGCACCCAAGTACTACATTTCCCCATGCTAACATAAAAAAACCCTGAGCTATCCACATTCAATATTTCAAACAAGACACTATTTGCTTAAATATAAACAAATATTATGAATCTATTATAAATATCTTACCAAATAATTACATCAAACCCTTCCAAGATATATGAAATACCTTAATCAACATGATTCTAATTGTTTAAGTGATAATACTGTATGTTGTTCAATTTTTAAAAAACTTTTTGAGAAAAGAACAAAAATGAAACATGATAAATGTGGAATGTAAATCATACAATATGCTCAGATTTCTTTCTCTTTTTTATTCTTTTTTCTGGGGGGATGGGGGTTTGGGGAAGGATGTTATATCAGCCAAATCCAAAATGGCAACCTGGAAACCATTCTGTTTCTTCTGATCAATTCCAAAAGTAAACGAGCACAAAGCTCAAAGGGAACTTACCGATGAAATTTGAGAGATATCCATTCAGCACTTCTTCAGAAATAGTAGTAACAATCTTTAATAGGTAAAATCCAAGGCTGTCTGTCGCCCTTTCTGTTTTTCTGATCAGTCTCAAAATTAGATGGGCACAACTAAGGACCAAAAGAAACCTATATATGAAATTTGAAAAAGATCTATCAAGCATTTTCTAGAAATAATGATAACAAACTTGCAAAGCTGAAATCACACATGGCCCTCTGTAGGTTTTTTCGTCTTTCACTGATCACTGATCCAAAATCAAATGGGCTCAATTAGAGACCAAGGGGAAGCTACATATGACATTTGAGAGAGATCCATCATGTACCTCTCATGAAAAAGCAATAACAAACTTGCAAAGTCAAAATCCAAGATGGCTCTCTTTCAGCCATTTCCTTTTTTTCTGATCAGACCCATAATCAAATGGGCACAACTCGAGACCAAGGGGAACGAAGATATGAAATTTGAGAGCGATCCATTCAGTACTTCTCAAGAAATAGCAATAACAAAATTTCAAAGTCAATATCAAAGATGGCTTCCTTTTGGTCATTTCATTTCTCTGATCAGTTCCAAAATTACATAGGCACAACTAGTGACCAAGGTGAACCTACATATGAAATCTGAGAAAGATCCATCGAGGACTTCTCAAGAAATAGTGATAACAAAAATTGTTTATGGACGGACGGACGGACGGACCACAGACATAGAGCGATCAGAATAGCCCATCATCTGATATGACATGAAAACCATCTGGTTTGGATATGAATATCAAATTCAAAATAACAGAGTATGATACATGTACCGACAAACGAGGAAGAGCTGGATGAAAACATCACCATACAAAAAATAGTAACAATTGAAACAATTACGATACAGATTAATATTTAAAAGGTTTAGCTACAGAACAGAAAGAGAAGATAATGGTGATGCTACTTGTAGATCAACTTTCATACAAATGCTGGCATTGGTAAACCATGGTCATGGAATATAATAAAGACAAGTTAGATGTTGGTACTTAAATCCAGAGGTTCTGGTCTTCAGTGACAGAAAATAACAAATAAAATCAACTTTACACAGTGTTTTGAATTCTGATGTACATGTATCTTTGTTGGGACTTAAACAATACGCATATAGAAAGATTCTAACACAGTAATGTTTTTGTTAGGTCCTTAAATTTAATGTATGAGATTGAAGTGAATAACAAAAGTTTATCCAGGAAGCAAAATGAACAGTATTGCTGAAAAACTGGCAGTATCATCACCAATATATAATCTTAAAATCTAACAAAGTGCACTAAATTTGAAACAAAACAAAAATGTCATAAGATGCTGCTTCAATGAATTAAGTCAGAAATAGAATGAGAATTTCCAATCTAACTACAATAAAATGTTGTGATAAAAGAGTACATGTTAAGAACTATGAACAAATATAAAAATATTGCTTCATGAAGATGAATATACTGAGTTAGTCATTACAATATACAGCTCCCATATCAATACAGTACCAAAGACAATCATTAAATGATTAAAACAATTCTGATATTTTAGCAGTTGAGGTTACAAAAACAACAATACTGCATAATTCATTTTCTCCACATCCCCTAATTTTTTCAGTTCGATGACTCAAATGGAACTAAGAAAAAGTTCAAAATGTTATTTTCAAGATAGCGACCATGGTGGCCATATTGGATTTTGGACCAACCCACAAAACAAGAACAAGATGTAAGATCATTTAAGTAAAGTTTAAACTGAATCCTACTTGCAAAACTAGAGAAACAATTGAAACAGGTGTTCTTAAGAAACCCATCATTGTGCAATAACAATACAAAATGGTCGATGTGGGTGCTATTTATGGTGATCTAATCTTTTCAACTAAAACAATTAGTGACAACTCCAATATATAGCTAATCAATTCAACCTAATTAATTGGTGACAATTCTATTGTTTAAATAATCATTTCAACCTAATTAACTGGTGACAATTCTATTGTATACATAATCTTTTCAACCTAATCAATTAAAGACAACTCCATTGTATAGCTAATCAACTCAACCTAATCAATTAGTGACAACTCCATTGTATAGCTAATCAACTCAACCTAATCAATTAGTGACAACTCCATTGTATAGCTAATCAATTCAACCTAATTAATTGGTGACAATTCTATTGTATACCTAATCATTTCAACCAAATCAATTTGTGACAACTCCACTGTATAGCTAATCAACTCAACTTAATCAGTATGTGACAACTCCACTGTCAAATGGAATGATCAGTTCTTGTTTCAACATGCAAAACAAAATTTTCATTTCAGAATGATCAATACTGAACTTGTTACTCAGAACTTTGAAAGATTGTATTAGTAATTACACATGAAATATTTCAGTTACAGATACTTACTACAATACAAAATACTATTTCCAATCTTATTTCCTCTAGGCATGGTCAACAAAAATAACTGTGTATGCTAGGAAAGTACAACTATCAGACCTTATACGTAAGTATATCAAGCCAATATTTTAACATGTGACACCAATACAGTTTGTTCTTAATCCAAATATTGTTCATCATCATTGTAATTCTCTGCTTGGTCCCCTTCATCCTCCTCCACAAGAGATGCCAAAGGCACATGATGGTCTTTCCTTCCTCGCTGGAATAGTATTTCTTCATCATGCTGTCGAAATGCAGATTGGAACATTGGTAAAAGTCTTGCTTTCCGACGTACAAGATCTAAAAAAAAATTACAAATGGTAATTTTTTCCATTTTCTGAATTGGAAAACAGCCACAAACACTTTCATACAGACACTTCAGACTATTTTAGTATATGTATGTCAGCCCAGTCGTAACATAAAAAAATGATGGTATTAGATTTATGATCTTTGATATCTATATTTTTTTTTGTTCGTTACCATCATAATTAACAAGAGATGTCAGAGGGATCTTGACTCCCACCATTGTTTGATCTACATATGCTCTTTGAAAGTTGGATCTTTTCCCTTCTTTTCTCTGTTTTTGCTCTTAATAATAAGACATGTGAACATTTCTTTGCAGAAACAGTGATGATAATCCAAAATGGCTATCTGGAAGCCATTTTGTTTCTTCTGATCAGTCCCAAAGTCAAACAAGCACAAGGAGAGACGAAAGGAACCATACTTATGAAATTTGAGAGATATCCATTCAGTACTTCTTAAGAAATAGCGATAACAATCTTTACTAGGCACAATCCAAGATACCTGCCTTTTGGTCTTTTTGTTTTTCTGATCAGTCCTAAACTCAAACAGGTACAACTAGGGATCAAGGAATGCATACAAATGAAATTTGAGAAGGATCCATGCTGTTCTCCAGATATAGTGATAACAAACTTTCAAAGTCAAAATCTAAGATGTCTGTCTGTCGGCCATTTTGTTTTTCTGATCAGTCCCAACCTTAGACGGACAAAACTAGGGACCAAAAATACTTATATATGAAATGTCAGAAAGATCTATACAATAGTTCTCAAAAAAAAAAAAACTGATAACAGACTTGCACCACCAAAATCAAAGATGGCCGTCTGCTGGCCATTTTGTATTCTGATCAGTCACAAAATTAGATGGGCACAACTAAGGACCAAGGTAAACCTTCATATGCAATTTCAGAAAGATACATTCTGTACTTCTCAAGAAATAGTGGAAACAAAAATTGTTTACAGATGGATGGACTTTACACGAAGAGAGAGTGATTTGAATAGTCTACCATGTGATGATGGTCGGCTAGAAATATTTTATGACACTTTTCTCAGTAATTCAACATAACTTCCATATACACATGATTTTCAACTTTCTTCACATAAAGACTAATTTCTTTCATAAATCATTACACATGCAGCTCAACAAATGCAAATTGAAAGCAATGTAATCAAAACAACACAAATTTTATGATATAAAGTGAAAATATAGTGTCAACCAAAAGAAATGGTGGACTCTCTCATGTTATAAAAGAACAAATGAATATTCATGATTTAATGACAATTATATGTCACACATTTTAATCAAATGACTGATTATGCAACATTTATCAATCTTCAACAGTTCAGTCTTGTGAATCAGTGCAAATAAATCTTACCATTTACATACATCAGATGAATCCCGTCGTGGTACTGGAAATGGACTTTGGTCTTTTGCTTTATGTTAAACATCTTTAAGTAGCAGCCAATGACAATCACAAACATCACAACGATGAAGATACTCACCATACCCCAGCTAGCATCTATATTGCTGTAACACAGTAAACATCCCATTAAAGATTTGTTTAGTTCATGTGACACATATCTACCAAAATTATACAAATTTGATTATGCCTACAGTGAACTTGTAGGAATTTATCAGTAGTTTTAGTTCTGAACAGCATTTTAAAGATAAATGAGTCGGACTCTATTCCTGAGATGAAGCAAATATATCAAGTGTCTGTTTCTTAATATTCCAATAATTATGAATAACATTTTTAAAAGAAAGAAATCTTTGATATATTCTAGTTTACAAGCAAACAGATTTTTCTGCAACACACAAAAAGAATATTTTCAAGTAATGATTTTACACAGTGTCATGTTTTCTACAATTTCTCATGGTAAAACTTACTTCTGTATTGAAATCTGATGAAAACTTGAGTTGAAATCTCTGCTAGAATTGAAGATGGACAGGTCTCGTCTATTCCTCAAAATGAATTCTTTTGAATTATTGAAAGCACTTTCATTTTTCTCCAGAGCATTAAATATATTTAATCTAATGTGTCCAAGTTTCATTTCCGATTCAAACTTGTCAAAATCTCTAACATCAAAGTCATATCCAGTGAATTCATTAATCATCTGATTATCTAAATGTAGCACCGACATTTTACAACATAAACTATCTAAATTAAAAGACAAGTAATCTTTCACAAACAACAGTTCCCTTGATGCAACATTTGAAAAAATACAACAACCATTCTTAACACAATTATTGCTCTTTGTCCGTTCTTTTCTCTTGCGTAAAACAAACTTAAATATCTCCTCTCTTGATCCTGTAATTGGGGTAGATATATTAAATGGCTTTATCAACCATGGCTCCAGCTCTGGACAGTATCCTTTCCATACATCAGTAAAGGTTCCATTTTGTAATCCAATTGGTTTGATGGTATAATACCTGAGCTGACTGTTAAAGTATCTATGTGTCCTGTCAACACTATTTTCGTACAAGTAGTTCCATTTCCTTCTCTTGGTAAAATTATCTTCTTTTTCCCCATCTTTATGGGAAGGCTTTTTATTGGAATACTGAAACATAATGTGATAGTCCACATCAATGAATAAACTTTCTAGTAAGGTAACATTCAAAAGGTAGCTAATTCATACTCATCAATATTCAACATGTTATGACCATTTCATTTTGCAAGTGAGATAGTTAGTGGTCTTACACAGGGACAATATAGGTGACTTCAATCTGCCTTAGGTTCATCACTGTCTGTGTGACATAAAACACCACGCTCTAACCTTACCCATTTTAAACTGCATACTGATATGTATCTGTCCCAAAATATATATATGAAAATGAAATAACACCAAACCACATGGACTAGCCTTGTCTGTCAGTATATCTATTACATGTGTAAAGTGAGCATATTAACAAACAAGGCTAATATATGGGACTCTTGTCATAACAGATCTAGTAATGAGCAAAATTTGCAACAATAAGATTCCTTCCTAGGGTTAACTATTTGAATCTTATTTTCCTGACTTTCGTGTGCTGAGATAAACAAAAAGGCATCAAAGCAATTGCATTATATATCAGTGTGTCACACTTTCTATAACATGTATATAGTAAGAGTATTAATAGACAAGGTTAGTACATATGATCACATCTTTACTATAAATGGTCCCTCAACGGGCAATGGGACCTGTTACATTATACTTCTTCTGTTACAGTAACTGTTGTGCCAGTGACCAACTCGACATATATATGTAAATTTCACATGTTGACATGTTGGAAAAAATGTATTACAGAAACACATGATACATGTAGAGACCTGTACATATGTAGTCAAAATCATATTGCAGCCAGTTAGATAATGTTATGTGTTTGTATTGCAGACAAAGGGATAATGTGGAATTCACTGATAATGTGTAGTGCAAAGAAATGAAAGAAGTAGGAAGCAGAGCTGACCCTTGCATCTAATGATGTTTATTAAAGAGCATGTTTGATTGGTTTGACACCTCTGTGAAATTGTGTAAACATAAAATGCAGTGGTTTAACGCATAAAAGGATCACGAGTGTTCTCGCCGAGGAAATTTAGAGAAAACTGCAGTCGTCAATTGTTTATACTTTGCTATGATATGGATTCACACCTCCTCCTGTAGTTCTAACAGGATTGTATATGTCCATAGCTAAGTTTTTTATCGGTACCATTTTCAATTGTCATGTAGAGAGATGTATGCATGATAAGTACAAAATCTTTAAAATATATTTGTCTATATATGTATCTTAAATTTAACTTGGGGTTTTACATATTTAAATGAAATACATATACATTATGCATTACGGCATATTTATATATCTAGTTTGTATTCAAGTAAAACCATGAAATGAATGCACTATTACCTGAATTAGCAGTTCACTTAACTTATCAACACTGGCAGAACTTGACGTTTCAGTTTCACTTTGATTGTAGGTTGCTTTGACTAGCTGCAAGGAGCTTTGGCAAACGAATAAAATTGCAAGAACTTTGCTGAGGATATTCCCTTGTGTAATTATTAATGTAACTGCTTTCGTGGAAATCATTATTTACATAAATGCGACCTTCATCCATGATTTCCATGGGCTATCTTTCAAATGACTTCAGGCTAGCTACTTCAGAGGAAGCAATTACGTGTCTCAAGGGGAAACAACTCTGATTTATTATTGTAAACCGGAAGTTGAAATATGAAGAGTTCCATAACCATGGAAAACAAAACGAAAGGTTTATAAAGGGAGAGGTGAAAATATGTGTTGAACTAATATATTTTGTATTCTAAACATTTACAATGGGACGAGACCGGTGACAAAGAACACTCAAGAAAAGCCATACATGTGAGTGGCAATCTTCACTAAAATATAGTGACAAATTTATGATTTCTTGTTAGATAATCATGTATCAGTCGAGTGATGCCAGAAGTGAAAAAAGGGGTGTGTAAAAAAGAACTTCAATAATCATCGATAGATATGTTATATTTACCGTTGTTTATAATTACATCTTAACGCAATCCTCGATTTGGCATGCGGAAATATTGACTGAGACTGAATTGCAATTGTATCCGTGTATTTAACAATTTAACATGTCCACACTATTTAGCAATGATATAAATTGTTTTGCAATATTGTGATTGTGAGGTTTTGCTTGTCCAACTAAGTCGTTCTCTCGCTGGTCACACTGTGACACATAAACACCAAACACGGGTTTCAATAACTTCGCAAGATATGCAGATGTAAGTTTATTGTTATCCTGCAATCGTATGTCAATGAATTCCAAATGGCCAGCTTAAGTCATGGGATCCTCTGTGCTTTTTATTCGTTTACAATGTTCCCTGTCCTCCTTTACAACATGATCAACTTGTTAACAGTCTGTTGACTTAGATGCTCAATGTCAATTTCAGAAGTTATTCAGACAATCTTGCACTTGGTTAAGTTCACTCCTATGTGAAGATATAACACTCTTTCAAAAGTTGAGATAGCCTCAATTTATTTGTCAACTTGGTGTCCATGATGAGAATGACAATTTTAATTTTAATGCTGATACAGAAACCTTGATATGTGTATCACATAGTTAAACATCTAGTAGATGACATGCTGCCTTACACTGATAATGGTTAGTATAATAGCTGAGCCCACCCTCACTTCATCACCACTACCAATATGCAGTCATTTGATTATGCTGATTATAGATAGGAGCAGCAGATTAACGTGCAACTCTAAAATGATTAAGATTTTGATTTATATGTAATATCATCGTCTTAACAATTTATCCCCAGTGATTTGACACATTATTAAGGAAGAAAAAAGTGAGTTTACCTGGACAAAGTTTAATTAAACTTATGTTGTATATTTCAGCAAACATCCATACAACTTTCATGTGACTTGATTCATGTAAAAACTCATTTTGTCTATGATATTCACATGATATGTAAGATTCTGTCATATTGTTTCTTTTCGAAAATTTTTTTTTTTTTTTGGCTATTTATTGATATTTAGGATTCACTTTCTCTATAGTATTTGACTGCTTAAAACTACTTAGACATTAAAGCTACATATTCATTATACCTGTATTTGATTGTAGATTTTCAACAATTTGGTATAAACTTCAAACTATTTCACATGGGAATACAAATATATAAACTTAACTACCTTTTTTATACTACTATCAATGAAGAGTAATTATTTAACAGAATTTCATATACAATTTACTGATGTATCACACTAAGACAAAACATATTAAATCACATTTGCAAGCATTTGGAAGTAAATAAATGAATAAAAAGACACAATTGGAAAATTTATTTAAATTTCTTCTTTAATAGTTTCATGTTCAATTGATAGAACTTAAAATTCATTACAAAATCAGATAAAGACAATGGATATATTTTTATAATGAAGAACCACAAAGCACAAAGAGCTACATGACTTTGTGTAATATACAAGTAGTTTAACTTTTCAAAGTAATTTTTTTATTAGTATAAGAGAAAATAAGGCAGGTGAAGGAATGATGACAGAAAACACAGGTGAGGTGGTCCTCATGTAAAAATCATTGACTAGCCCATTCATTTACAATGGAAATTCTGGTTTCACCTATTCAGGCCCAAGTGCACTACTAGTTTACCTGCGTTTTATTTTCTGATGAAATTCTAATCTCAACATCATGCATTGCTAGTGCTTTAAGTGTAAAGGTTAGCCTATAAACTCAACTATACACCAGTAAGGAGTAAAGGACATGAAGACTGTCATTTTGAAAATGGTTTTCAAGTCTGGCAGTAGCAAATTGTAATATGTAGACGGAAATAAGGTCAAATGATAATGTCCATTCAAAGGATAATGTTCTGGACTTCAGCAATGTGTCTCAGAATATTTAACCTTCTATAATTTATTTTACAGTAGGTAAAAAGAAAATGGGGTCAAAACCAAGCACTCCTAAAGCCAAACAAAATGCAAAAGCATCAACTGTAGATGCGAAGAAATCTAAAGAAAAACATGCGAAAGATGATGATAACCAACTCAAAACATCCAGCAATAGTCCAAAGGATGTGATGATCAGCTACAGCCACCAGGACAAGGAAATGATGGCAAAGCTCAGAGGTAACCATTTCTAGACATATAAAGGATTACATGGAATTCCAATTGAAAAAAATGACTTCATTAATTTTAAAACCTTTTAAGATTCATTAGATAAATAATTTGATGATGGTGTGTATGATTCTTGAACTGTTGTTTCAGATAAACAGAATTGCATTCTTTTCTTTTCATAGAGAGTCTGGAGGATAATGACATCACGGTTTGGGTTGATGTTGTTGGGTTGCAAGCTGGCGTAGATTTCCTCGGCAAAATTGGACAAGCTATTCTTAATGCCAAAGTAAGCATGTGTATAATCAATGGAGAATTCTGTAAAGATTTATATTACTTCTCTGTAAAACCAAAATTAATTTTAATATATCCATTTAAAAGTATTTTTAATATTCAATATACATTCCAACAGTTAAAGACTGTTAAGGTGTTTTGGCCTTGTATTATAAGCCATGCATTAGGAACACAAATCAAAATGACTTTATCACTGTGAATTCAGAGCATACAGTTGCAAAATTTCAATTATAAAGTATGTTTGGTTTAGAAAATACATTCACTGACTTATCAGTTTATGTGTACTATCAGACTGAATATGTGTATTGAAATATTCCACCTGTCTTTTTATTTAAAAACTTGTATAAAGTTCAATGATTAACCATATGGATCTGACATGTTTTCTTTACATACCACACAGCTATTTATATCACTGCTGAGCACCTCCACGGTTAAGTCAAAGTACTGTCAGGACGAGATTGCTCTGGCCTATATATCCCAGAAACCAATATTTCCATTCGCCATCAATACACAACAAGAGATATACGACTGTATGGGCACAGGAATGTGAGTAATATTATGTCGCTGTATGATCTGGCAATAAGCCAGTGTATTTCTGGTAACAAGCCTGCATACTTTAAGTAGAACTGCTTAATATCACTACCCAGTAATATGCCTGTACCACTATGAGTTGAAAGTGAGCACAGATAACGACTGCATCTGATATACACTGTATTCTGTTACTTTTGAGAATGACAAAATTGATCACTTGCTAATTACACAGCTGAAGTAAATATACCAGGTAACATGATACATTTAAAGAGATATGTATAAATATATATAAAGTAATGCTATATCTTATAAACAAGCATGGACAATGATTGGGGATAAATGCTTGAGAAAGAAAGTCCAGAGCAGTATATTGTATAGCATTCAATATGACCAAAAAAGTTAAAGTTGGATTCATTTGGTCAAATCATGAATCAGCCCATCATTCCAACATTCTACAGATCTAATATAAGTACACTAGGCCTTATGGTTCTTGCAAAGAAGTTGTCAGAAGATTTTAAGACATTTGACCCATTTCACCTTATGTGATAGTTTTTATTCAAATGGCTACATCAAACATATCATATCATATATATTTATTTATGAAATACATCGTATCTTTTGTTATAAACACGCACTCATTCTGTGTTGAATATTCACTATGAGAAATTCATGCAAGTCTGCATTTTTATTTTAATCAACATGTATTTTATTGAGTAAAAGACACTAAGAAACTTGTACAGATTCCTCAAAGGCAGCAGTCTTTATATAATAACATGATACATGTTGGAATAATTTTTTAATATTCAGTGGAGAAGTAAAAGATTAATTTAATATCACAAATGTGTTGCCAGTGTCAGGGATGATAAGTGAATCTTTATTTCACACTGTAATTATTGTAATCATGAAAAATCAGATTTCAGGTGGACAATGTGAAATATGATTGCACAAACTTCCTTGTAATTTTTCAATTTGCTTTATTTTCAAATCCTAGGAAATTACAACTTTCCGGCATTGAGTGGACATTTGCTCTCAAACCTGAAACATTTGAGAATGATTTTGCAGAGTTACTATCTCGATTGAAAGCAGAGCTAGAGGCACAAAAATCAGGTAAATCATGTCAGTACTTTGACAGAAGTTTAAATTCATCAAGGTTTCGATTAATTACTGTGCTGTCACCGAAATCAAAACAATAAGCCTCTCAGATTCTGTGGTGCAATGTCTGTCATCCCTCAATCTGTCATCATATGGCAATGTCTGTCATCCATCAATCCATCATCATATGGCAATGTCTGTCATCCATCATCATATGGCAATGTCTGTCATCCATCATCATATGGCAATGTCTGTCATCCACCAATTTATAATCAGATGGCAATGTCCATCGTTCTGTAATCTATCATCAGATGGCAATGTCTGCCTTGCCATGTCTGCCATCCTTCATTAATTCTATAGTGCAGTTTTATACAAGTATTTGTAGATGGCAGAAGTGCAATTTTTAATCTGACCTCCTCATTTGTATGTTTGGGTCATCTTGTGTGTTTATCCTCACATTGTTTACTTTGCCTGTAAGTGATCAGTCAAAAGCTGTAATTGTAATTCTTCAGCTCTGGAAAACTCAAAATTTGTTGGATTTTGTTAGATACAATGATTGACGCCTCTAGCGGTGTGCTAAAAAGTTTCTTAATAGGAAGTACAATATCCCAGGAGTCAAATTTTCAAAAAACATGGTTTGAAAAGATACAGAGTACTTTGTTTAGTTGGTTTATAGCCCATAAACAAACAGGGTCATTGCAAAGGAGGGCTACCTCATAGTAGCTGGTTATGTACCTCACAGAATATCATGCAGGAGATCCACAGCATACTAAACAAAGCAAAAAGGGTTAAGTGTACAAAACCAGATCCCAAGATGGATTCATAATGTAATATCCCTGAGAATCACAGAATGCCTGGTGCATCGGATATCTTCACCAAAGGTTACACTTCATCAGTCAAATGCTGGACAAAGCTAAATCGACATCCTTACCATTAGGTCGGGAGAGACAATATTGTACACTAATTGGGGCTTAATGTGATCAGTATGGGATTTGATTGATAAATAGTTTTGTTGCCATCAATAAATGCATATAGTCACTAATGTTGGTGATTTCTGGGCACTTGATCCAATTTCTTCTGTCACTGCCTGCATTAAATGGAAAAGTTTAGCAGCGTGGGCTATGATCTAACTCCAGTTCCTCTACAGGCATTACCTCAATGCTTCTATAGCAGATGGCTTATAATACCAATCTGATTGAGCCCTGACTGCATGCCCGTCTTTAAGACTAAACTTTGATGATATAAGATCTAAAAAGGTTATTTCTAATCTTGATCTCCATCATTGATATAACTATGATCTTGAAGGCAGAGTTTTTGAATAATGGTTTTGTTTAAAATGTCTTAATAAAGCCTTAGATAGAAAAGTTTAAACAATTAAGGAAACAGGATTTCAAAAATCTTTACCTAACAAAACTCATGGGATTCATTTTGGTTCATAGTCATACTAAATCATGGAAGTCATACAACTCTATAACTACATGTCATATGGTTTTAAAAAAAACCATGAAATATCATTATTGCGGAATAAATTTTATGATAAATGTATTTCTAGCCTGTGCAAGACCTATTTAATAAACTATTACAACATCTTCATTCTTATCAGCATTTTTCCAACGTAAGTACAAAACAGTACTCCTCACTGTAAAATTTCAGAGTACCGGTACATTTAAATGTACTCTGATTTTAGAGTGATGAGTACAGTATAGTGTAGATTGACTGCATGTCATATTATTTTAAAAAGTGTTTTTTTAAATTAAATTAAGAAATTATTGTACTACATTTTCACACTTATTATTTTAGATGAGAAGTCAGATGTCAGTGAGAAACGTATGCTTACTCGTCATACAAGTAAAAGCAAAAAGAAAAAGGATCCAAGGACTCAGGAACTTTCTGAAGAATTCTGGAAAAAACATTTTGATAAAGAGGAAGTGGTAGAATGGGAAAGGTTGGTGTAGAAAAATCAGGACAGAAATCCATGATGACTGCAAATGATTGATAGATGCAAACCTATGTGATATTTATCTTCCAAGTTAAATAATTTTGAAATATAAAATACATATTCATAAATAATTTTTTGTTTTTATATCATTGCATATCTTTGTTTAAATGGTACAATATTTGTGAGTTTTTTTTTTCGTTTTTGAGACAATGCACAATGTGTGTAATTTTTTTTCCCTAGGTTCAAGAAGGATTTTTCAAAGTATTTCCATGCTGAGATGGAATACCTTTTCACTGAAGACAAGGAAAAAGGTTTTCTATGGGCAAACTTGAAAGAGGAGGTAGAACTACTGAATGATGAAAACTCGGTAGATATGTTACCAAAGAAAAACCTCATTGGTAGGTACCACATGTAACTGTCCATTATGTTAATATTGACCTACTTGTAAATGATTAATATCTAATAATGGTGGAGCCAATAATTTGTCATTTGCAGTTACTCTAATAATTTAAGTTACTCCTCAGTAAAAACAATATACAAAAATCAATTCTATCAGATGTGTCAGTTCTGGAAATGATGCCTAAAATAAACTCCCTCTGTTTGTGCTGTAAATAAGAGTTACTTATCTCTTACTTAAGTATTTACTTTTTCATTTGGTAACCATGAAAGTCTGTTGACCTCTTGTCTTGTTTAGGTAGAAAATGCATTTTTAGGCATTCTACCAACTTTTTCATTTCATGAAACATTTGAAACAAGAACATGTACAAGTTTTAGTTTTGAGTTGATGTGATGGATTTTCTTGCAGATTTTACAGTTCGATATGGAGATACGTTATCCCTGTGGGAGAGTGTTGAGGAATTTGGCAAGGAGATGTTTGCAATGCAAGAGGTTTTTGGAATGGACTCCTCTGTTAGAGTGCAAGCTATTGAACATTTAGGTAAACTCTCTTTGAACATATATTCCTATCAGTTAAAATTCATTGAAATGATATTCTTTTGTACAGTAAATTATGAGATTTTAATCAAGCGTTCAACTCATGACTTTTTATGTGTTCAAGCACCTCTTTCCTTCAGAACTTTACCAACAATTTCTCCTTAAATTTAATAGAAATTTTGTTCAAATTCCTCTCTGAATATCTTGTAATGTATCCATCGATCGTAAAACCCAGAAATACAAATACTTCATACTTCAAGTCAGGGGGTGAATTATTATAGAACAATGATATGGTCACCTATTTAGTCATACAGAACAGCAGTATATATGGATGGGCTTATTACCAGGCAGGTTATTGATTGATAAGTAAGCTCAACTGTATCTATTAGAGTGAAGAAGAAAAAAAATCAGTTTGACTTTACATTCCCATCTCCAACTTTCTTTTTTAATTGTAGTTTATGGTTTGGCCCACTCTGTCTATGGGAGGCTTAATATGGTACTTGGTTGCTTTTTTAGTATATCAAATACAGAAGAATATTTTTTTTAGTTTAGTTTGGACAGGGCAGTAAGTGGTAGAACCTTCAGACAATAAAGTCACCAATAAGATTGGTAAAAATCATAATAATGGGAACTGGACTTTGAATATTGAATCATCTGTGACATGTAAGTGTCATATATTGGGATGCTGGAATGAGAATCCTTCTGTACGATTATTGCAGACAAAATGAACCATTTTGTTTTATTTTAACAGGGCAGTTCCAAAGTCCTCGGGTGATTGAGTCCCTCCGTGACTTGTTGTACAATGAAGACCCCAATGTCCGAGCTGTGGCCAGTGTCTCATTGGCAAAGACTGGTAACTCTGAAAAGTTAACAATCAAACGATTGATGAAAGCTCTCAATGACAAAGATCGCCTGGTGAGGGAGGCTGGGTGTCTCGCTCTGGGCCACATCAAAGCTAAGGAGGCTATACCAGCTCTACTTCGCTTATGGTAGGTAGATTTTGAGGTCTGAATTTACGTTTTTCAGATTTACAAAAGTGTTGTATTGAAAAAATTATATTATCAAAGGTAAAAAGTTAAGGCTTGTAAGGATTGTCATTCGTGAGGGTTAATAATTTAGTCGTCGCTACTGTGCTTTATATATACCTTTGTTTTTACCTTTCAACTAAATTTAGATCACTTTTTTGTCAAACAGCAGTTATCATGAATCAAACAATTGTACACACCCTCCTTTAAAAACCTGCTATTACCCTAATATACCAAGTTAGAAAGAACCAGCTTAATTATATATCACTAGTATTTCTTTTACTTCATTGGTTTTGAGAAATCAAAAAATGTATTACCATATAACACCTCTCTGAGAAAATGGTAGATATACTGACTTTGCATACTTAAGTTGAAATCAACTCAGTTGTTGAGATGTCAGTACAAGATTTTGCAAGAAACACACAAAGGATTGGCAGACAGAAAGACAGATGGACAGACTGACAATAGAATTTTTCCAAGACTTCATTGTTTGAAATATCCCTATTTCTGACTGATCGTTTTATCTGTAACTCTATATTTCAGGAGGAATGACTTCATCTCACATGTACGAGAGGCAGCTCAAGCAGCCCTTGAATTGATAGGAGGAGATGAAGTAGAACAGGCCATGCATATTACTAAGGTCTTGGCAGATGAGATCAGACTTCTTACTCTGGAAAACTAGGCTGAATACTATTGTGGCACCTGCAAATGACCATTATAGGGCTCAGATACTCAAAGAACATTCCTAAAAAGAATCATAGCATATATTTATTTACTTTTGTTATAAAATATACAAAAATCAAACATATTTGTAATCTCACCAGGATATTTGTTTGTGTTTAATAGTTGAGTACTGTATATAACAATCACCATATATCTTCTTGCCTATGTAAGTAAATTGTATATAGATATATACATATAATCAGATGATCATTATGCCTGTGTATGTATAAATTTTCTACTGTCATAATCAACATTATAAAGTCACAAGTTAAATTATTTCAGTTGATATCCTTCAGATTTGTTGAACCAGGGATATACCTAATTCCCATGTTGTGCATCCGTCCAACTGAATGATTACAAGGCAGAATATTCCTTGCATGAAGGAGATTAGAATAATGATGTGTGTTGAAATGTGTTATTCCAGAAATAAATCATTGTGACATTTACTCATTTATTGGCATGTGGTTTAAATTTAAGAAAAACTGAAGTCTGAATTCTATACAGTCTTTCCATAAAGCAGATGGATTATATACTTATATTTGCACTCAAAAAAACAAAGCAGGAAAGAAAATACAAAATTCTTTCCAAGTCAGAAAAAAATCAAAAATTTCTCCAGAGCTAAGTTATCACTAATCTGTCTTCCATATCACATCTGACTAATTTTGTTACATTCCTTGCAAAGACTTTAAGATACGTTTAAGTTTGGAGACCTCGAAATGGCATATTTGCCCTATTTGGATAATGACAGTTGGGCAATGAAATTGTATTTCTCTTGAACTTCAATGTTTTGAATATTGTGTTGTGTAAAGAAGCCAAATTTTGCATCTAGAAATTTTCACAGAGTAAGTCAGAGGACAGTCACTTTATTCTTGTATTGGTCACACAATGATGGAGTTTGTGACCAGTATTTTTTTCTTTTTTTTTAAGGTAGGGTGCAGAAAATAAAAAAATTGTGATCTCTGTGTACTATTATCTCGTACCATTCATGTAAGGAGATGTAGAACCAATGCTGTCATGTCCTCTATGGTGGATATTTTCTCAAAGGAACCCTATCTCGATACAAATACCAATCAGAGTACATCAATCTACCACCCGCCACATCAAATCTTAAATATGGTCATAAAAAATTTAGTTGATTAAGTCAGTTAACTTGAATTCCTATGCCATGACTAAGTGGTTGTGGTAATTTTGTGATGGGGATATTGCACATTTGTCAAATCTCTACTTCAGGTCTTATTTAGTTACCTGGTAACACATATATCAACACAACATATCATATAACTTAATTATAATCTTATTAGCCCACCCTCTGATTTTGAGCTAATGACCTGTGTTGCTGCCCTAGTCTTTTTCCATATAAATATGGTTATTTCTGATCCATAAGTACTTGCTTTTGAATTTACTTAAATTTTCATTCAATAAAGACTGAAATAATACATTACTATTTGTACATATATATCTTCAATTGTTAGAATTAATATGTCGCAAGCATATCCAAATAGCATTCAGGTCAATACCAGCCAATATATTGGCTTTGCTCATTTCGAGGTATGTGGAACTGCCCTGTATTTATTGCATAATGGTTAAATATCAAAACTTTATTGTACATACATGAATTTCAAAATCTTTGAATGTTTTATTTGTGGATATATATCATATACCTTTGTTGATCTTTAATTACTCATCTTTATACAGAGATTTTTATACAAACTCTTTAAATGTTGTCTTCTGTTTTTCAAGACTTTCGCTTGTGTGATTTGATCTGATATTTTAGCCAACAACTTGTTATTTTCCTACAATTGCTGAAATTGATATTAATGTTATAATGAATCTCTATAGTATGTTTTTATATACACATACTTTGACAGTTGATTGTCTGTTTAAAAAATTACTGATGTAAAAAATCAAACAATCTGATTGTTAATGATTAACATAAAAACTTGCCACTTTGTATAATGATTGTTGACCAAGTCTATAATTGCTAATTGTTAAAGAGATGGCCCCTGTGAGATGCTATTCTTGAGAACATGAATGATTATGAATGATTTAAAATATTCAAGAATGTTGTTGAGATTTATGAATAAATGTTAATGAATATTCATCAGATATATGAAATATTTTGCTCATGATTATTGATGTTTTAGGTTCCTTAAACTTTGCAATCCATGACCAAAGTGAGAACATCCATAAATTTGATAGAAAAACAATATTCACGAATTTTCTGGGATCATTTTACAGGGGCAACATATTTTACTTAAAGGTTGAAAGTTTGGATTTCAAATAGTAATAAGTCTGTTTTTATGTCATATTATTTAAATATTGTTATAAATTTATGTGATGTCGTAGGAAGACATGGATTCAAAATGGTTTACATTAAGTTGATTGCAAATCAAGACATATATGATCCCAACAGACTTGAAAACATTTGTGGAACAAATATTTTGTTTTGTTGATATATCATATTTGAAATTTGGATGTCTAGAAGTTGAATTATGTATATATATATATACAAAGGTTTGCAATACAAAATGGGATTTAATTCATTGTTTGACTCTGCTATACCTTATCTAAATTTGTTTTAAAGAGTTTAGGCCACGATTTTGGTTTTCTTCAAATTCTGTTACATCAAAATCTAAATAATTGCACTCCCATCCAGATCACGCTGCTCAAATATATATATATCAAAAGTACTTGTTACGCATGAGTGAGAAATTTAATGAGGTGTCTGGTCATGTTGTACAAGTGATAGTAAAGTGTTACATCAACTGATTGTGTTTAATATTCAAGCAGTAGTGTAGAAGGCAGAAATTAACATATGATTCTGTTTTAGCTTAAGATGTAACAGAATTTAAGAAAACCATAATCGTGGCCTAAACCCTTAAATAAGTGTGGAATGCTGCGATGCAATGATCTTTGTTATGTAACTTAATTATGACATTTTTATGACATTTGTTATCACCAAATTAAACACCATTAAAAATTCTACATGAGGATTATGATTAACTGTAACACTTATTTTAGATATAGGCTATGAAGTTCCTTAACAAGAGAACTAACGCTTTAAGTCATGTTATAATATAGTGGGTGTTGTTGGCTGACAGTAATGGACCAGCATGTTTAAAACAATTCATTCTGACATACAAATGCATGCTGACATTCCTTGAAATATGCCAAAATTTTGCAATCTTTGATGAAGCATTGTTTTTGTATTGCAATTTCTTTTGAAAAAATTATATCTGGGGATATATTGACTGATGAGGTGGATTTTTATTCCTTTTTTTTAGGGGTAGTATATAGATGCTGCACACTCTGTCCCTTTCGTCTCCAAAGCGCAACATTGCCAAGTCAAACAAGGATCATGAAACTTGGTGTATACATTGGTCATACTTAGATAGTGTGCATTCAAATCCAGGATCTGCAACTCCTTAATAACAGAGTTTTCATCCTTTGTTGAAATTTTCATATCCAGAGCATAACTTTGCTTGCATTTAAACTAGGATAATGAGACATTAGTAGGTCTGCTTAATAAAAGTTCAAAAACTGCCCAGAAATGACCCGAACGTTTATCAGCAGTCCTTAGCCTTCAACTGGTACAGATGATTCCTAACTCTGTTTAGTTTCGATTTCAGCACACATGTTTTATGTGAAAAAGGTCAAGGTTAAATTTGAAAGTCTGTCATTTTATTGCCAGTTGGTATGAAATGTGTTGGGGATGGGGCATTGCTCCAGGATTAGCTGGATTTCAGGGTAATTGTGACATCAATGATGGTTATTTACAAGTGTGCTCATGATATGAATATGTTTTTTTTTTTTTTGTGTGTTTTTAAAAGGGAATTTTCCTGATTAAATCAATACAAATAATCAATAATTGACCTAAATTGCATGATCTCCTGTAAACAAGACAGAGTGTGTTTACCAGTGTATAGTTAGATGATTGTCTGTAATTCACTTACTGGCAATGGTACAGCATCAAGTAACAGTCTGCTAGGTATGTATACCTGACACAACATCGGAATAACAGTCTAGAAGAGACTTGGATCAGTTTTCTAAATTCAAAGACATCAGCAGAATCAATTTAAGGATTTAATTTGTTAATTTATGAAAATGTGACATCTAACACATCGACAGCAAGCACTTGAACTAATTTCTATTATTATACCTCAGCAAGTCAAATTGTATTTATTTAAATTAGCATTCCAATAAAGTTATACGGAGAACACTATATAATTTGCAATATATTCAAGGTTCTAAGCTCTTTTAGCATTCCTAGGCAGTCAGTGGTTGCTATATTTGTGATAACTAATATGCATTTTGGCATTTCTTATCTGTGAACAGCATTCCAGAGCTGTTCAATACATCCTTATAGGGTGAGGCCCATTTCCATATAAGCTGTTTTTTAAGCATTCCCTGATAGTTCCTCCAGGGTCTAATTACATATGAGCAGTCAGTTTCACTGCAAATTCAGTTTGATAATTTGACCTGGTGTCTTGAATGTTCCTGAATGCTAAGAGAGGGGGAAAAACCTATGGGCTGCTGATTAACATATTGCTAAAATCTGCTTTGGTACAGTGGAACAATTTTCTCATTTGCTTAGAGAAACAAATGGAAACAGTTAAAAACTGCTAAAATTGACAGTTTCATGAATACTGAAAATGCTTAGGTATCGGTACAGTTTTTCGGTGTGGTCATGGGTGATTTTTTTTGTTCATTAGATTACCTCATTATAAAGGTTTGAATTAAAATTAAAAAATTAAATCCTTGCTAAAATTGGTCTTGTCATGTTAAAGTGGACGTCAGGTTTCATTTTTTTTTAGAATATTTTAGCTTTGTGCTGGAGATTACTATATGGGCAGTCTTGAATCTGTGTCTACACACCAAAAACCAGATGTACAGGAAGTGAAATTTTCATAGTGTTTACCTATGGTCATGTTATGAAGGATTTCCAAGTTGGAATTTGCTGCAATGTAAGTACTTTGTTACCATGAGTGTTGTTGATTTTAGGGTAGGTGTTTAGAATAAATTTCTTTTGGAAAGTTGAAGTGTTAGGTTGGAATTAGCAGTATTTTTGCATTTTTATTATTTTTTCAGTTGGTAACCGTAGGAATCAAATGTTACAAATCAGAGGAAATTAATGTAATTGTTATGTAATTTATTAAGATATATACATGTAATGATATATTTTTCATAACCAATCTGCTATACCTGTATAACTCAAACCTGACCAGTAATTTCAGGAAAAATACAAATTAAGTGTTTCCTGCTACCTTAGGAGTTTCCCTCCACTTTGACACTGAATAGGTACTTTTTATATGTTTAATAAACTTACTTTTGTTGTAGTAATATTGTTTTATGTTTGTTTTTTGATCATTTGTTTGATATAAGCTGTCATCTTGTTTTCAGCTCAAAAAGAATTGTTCTCCGTTAAATGAAATCAAGCTTTGAAATTAACTTCTTCCAAACATTTAATTTGGCACCATTTGAAATGGACAAAAATATTGGTTTAACTGCCATCATAATCAAACATGACAAAATCAATTTGGACAGCTCTTACAGTACCATTTGTAATCTTTTTGATTTACATAATATAATTGTGTATATAACATCATTTCACAAATAATATGTGAAAGTCATTTTATTTCTTCTTCAATATTGGCATACAGCGAGGTCCGTTGTCCATCCATCCATCAACTATTTTTACAAAGCCCTGAATGACAAAGCAGATTTTGACCAAATTTTCCTTGGGTGAAGAGAACCAAATTTTGTATGAACGGTGGGTCTCGTCTTCCTGGGATGGTATGGGTCGGGGCCCAATCAGAAAAAACTGAGCAAGTTCTTAAAACGCCTACTTCTCCTGTAGGAATGATTTTGTCTGATGTTAAGCTAACCCCTTAAGGTTCCAGTCTAGTAAGAAACTAGATATGTTTATTGTTGTGTGCTTGGATATTTAGAATTTCTGTTCCTTAAGTTTTAATGAAGCAATTTCAGTCAAGCAAAGCTAGGTTTTAGTCTCTTGTTTCCACTTTTATTTGATCCAATGTAATTTTTGAAGCTCTAATTTTCCACTGTGTAAAACCAGCTTGACTGTTTGTACAGGAACATTTTATCCACTTTGTGGAAGCTTAACAGGAAAATCTGCTACCTAGTCAAAAAGCATGAAACCTGTTGTTCACAAGATTTTTAGACATTTAATTACACTCACAAGGAAACAATTTTTCTGAGTTTTTGATTTTCATTCAATTGGGAAAGTTTGACAATAACAACGTTTGTAGTTATTTGTTATTAGTGATTACAAAATAAACTTTCAAGCCAATCAAATTTCATGACAGCTTTGATGAGAAATGTCCAATGGGTGCACAATATTTTCTTTAGAGAATTATCTTTGATGGTGTTTTCTGTTTGTCCCTGCAACATAAACTTTAATTTGTACAAAAATTTCCGGCTACAGTTTTCCATTGATTTTTCAACCTCTATAGGCTTTGTCACTTTGATATAATAATAGCAGTCTAATATGATTGTATTTGGAAGAGTTACTGTCCCTTGTTTTCACAATATTAATGTTGTCCTGAGAGCTTCTCTAATTTTCAAACTGTTTCTTTTGAACTTAAATGGCTTAAATCTGGACATGAAGTTGTCATTTCCTGAGTAGCAGTTCAATTAAACCATATTAGGAAAAGTTACTGCTCTTTGTTTTCATGTTAATCTTTCCCAGATCTCTCTCTTTTTTCAACTGATCTCTTTCAAACTTAGTAGGCTTTATAATTATAGAATGAAATTGTGTTTTCCAAAAAAACTGTCACATTAAAAAATTATTGAAGGAGTTTTCCTTAATTGCATTGTGATTTTACCATTTTAGGAAGAATTATCTTATCCTGTCCTGATATCACCTTCCTCGGCTTTTTATCAATTTCTTTTTAACTTATCTTCCTTCTTAAAGTTTTGAATTTTATTACCATTTCCTTACATCATGAATTTCTTTGGCATGGGTTTGGCATATGTTGTTACACCACATAGTGTTCTCTCCTCAAAAACATATGTACAGTAGTAAATATTTTAACGTTTTCACCAAAAAAATGTCTTCGTAGTTTTACCAATGCTGGCTTGATTAAATCATTACTACATCTTTACCTACATATTTTCATCACCATTCAATGCTTTTAATACTTCAGACAAGATGAGTGCATGAAACACTATGCCCCTGAAGTGGGACATTGAAAGTGAATGCACCCTTTGTGAAACACTTATGTCTTCATTATGGTAATGATTACAGACATTTTCTAGTTTTTTTTTTACATTCAAATGTAGGACACAGGTCACAGTCAAAAATTTGGGACATCCATGCCAAATATGAAAGCCATACCTCTTATGATGCTATTGTTATGGCAAATGTTAAAATTGTTCAAATTTAAGTCCAAGGTCATGGTCAAGGTCACAAGGTCAAAAATCTTGACAACCTGAAAGGTCTTATCACATGCCGAATATGAAAGCCCTACTGCCTCTTACAGTGCAACAGTTATGGGAATTATGACCTTTCGATATGAAGCATAAAAAAAGAAATTCCAAAATTTATTTACTATCACCTTGGTAGTTTATTTCTGATTGCATATATTCACACTGTCTCTTGTAAGACACAAATTATGTCATCCTGTAAAAGAATATTCTTGGAACATTCAAGACACAATGTCAAGCTTTGATCACAATTCAAGGAGAATCAACAATCACAAGGTTTATGTAAAGTATTATTTGGAAAATGATCACTTAATTCATTAGAGAAAATTTGTTAGAAATAACAGTTATATTTGTATACAAGACAATGAAATCAATTGATGATGTCCAAAGAATCAATAAAATTTCATTAACAGAATCAACAGATAGATACCATGCCATAGGTATTTTGTTTTCCTATTTAAATGCAAAATGAAATTGGAAGCAATCCTAGCAAATCTTATAGATGCAAACCAACATTGTCATCATGAATCATGACTGTTCAAGAATCCTAACTGCACCTGGTCTAAAATTCCATTCTTTATATGCAGCAAATCTCTTTATATTAAACAAAAAATGAAAAAATGAGGCACACAGAAAAATGTCCCTTTTCAGCAAAACAAAAGCAAATAAATGTATCTTGATAATCTGCACTGTGACAATAAATCGATGCTTAAGATGGGTTTCATCTTTTGAGTTAAAAAGTCTTGATTTAAGATTTAAGATTTTAGAAATATTTTTCTGATATATTTGCCGATAATATATCAATTTTAATTTTTGAATACTTCACTACTTTCATGATGGGAAATTGAATTATCTCAGTCAATTAGTTCTCTTTTTTCCCCATAATAAAAAAGAACCTATTAGAAACACCTCAAAAATTCTGTGTACAAAGAAAATAATTACCAGGCTATTCCAGTAAATACCTATCCCAACCCTGGATTCCAGGTTTTGTTAAGGGATACATCCAATACAATTTAACTGATAATTTGCTAGAATTATTCTTTTTGTAGGCCTGGTATGAAGTAGATGATTTACTGGAATAGACCTTACTGAAATTTACATCTTGAACTCTATACACAAACAAGTATTCAATGAAGAAAATCATACAAGTCAGCTGGGTAAGCAAGGCATGAATTCATACATTATACTATGGACACCTCCAGCTCATAAAATCACTTCCACCATTACTGAAACTGATTACACACAGATCATTCTAATACCAGTTTAGGAAACCTGCAGTGTGCTTTGACCATGAATACAATAACATGAAAACAAAGTGATGAACAGTAATCAACAAAATGATTCATTACAATTCAATCATAACAGGAACCAGATTAAATTCTTGGTGAAACACATCCATGACACGAATACTTGAAAGTTATATACAGGTAGTTCATTTTTTTTTTTTTACATGTGACTTGACAGTATAATTATGATATTCAATAAAGGTTAAAAAATTAGTTGTAAAGCACATAAAAATCAATGTCTACAAAACGTTTTTTTTTTTGTTTGCATCTGTGAAATGAAACACTCCTCAGAAGTGACAAAACAACATGTGACCAAGGATGTGAATGATCAAAATATCCTGCCCATACTTGCTCTCAATCATTTATTCTTATTCACATAAATAACTTTCATTAATGCAGGAACATTTAAAGAATGCATTCACACTGATACACTTAACACACACACACACACATCACCATCATGTACAGAAAACATTCACTATCATTCAATTACATCTAAAATGTAGTTACTAGGGGCCACCAGGATTTGGATTAAGCTGTGAAGCAAAACCAAGACCAACACCTCTATGAGTATGTGTTGTCATACGGGCAAATTCATATTCTTTGTCTAGTCTGGAGAAAAGTTCTTGTTGTTTCCTCTGTTGTTCTTCAGATAACTCGGCTGATGTGCCTTCATCACTTTCTCCTTCCTTCATTCCCATTAACTTTCGGAATTTTGCTGCCATTTTACCATCTTGATCTGATGCGAAGGATGTTTTCTGCCATTCATTACCCTTGTGTGATGCTGCGGCCATTGTTTCTGCAGCTGTTGTTGTTCCAGCTGTTGTTGTTCCAGCTGTTGTTGTTAATGTTGTTGTCTCCTGTAATTTAGAAAACTCACAGTTTAAACATTCCGTAAACAATATTAATGCAACTTCAATTTTCTTTTAAGTAATAAGGATCTTCAAACTTCAATTATTGCATTGTTTATCTTTTTGTTGGGTATATTTCCCTGTGAACAGCCAGGGTCATGCTAAAGCTAGGTACAAGGATACACGTTAACAAATGAACAACATACAGGAGGTTATCACATGTCCTCCATGGTAAAGTGTCTTGCCCAAAGTCAAAACTGCAATAGCAGTCTCGTCTGTCTCGCAGCTTCCTTAGAATGAAAACTGCCAAGGGAAGGGAGCCTTGAACCATACATTTGGATCTACACCCGAGATTCTGTAAAGCCATTTTCTAATGACTGAGCTAACACTGCACCCTTATTGTTACAGTTGTTTTTTCATTAATGAAATGCTAACTAGTAGTAATTGAGTTTCCATTCAAGAAACTTATACTGAAAGTAACCATTTCTTGACGTCATAACTAACAAGAGATCCCAAAGATTTCTCTACTCTTCCCTTCTTTATACCCTTTTCCTCTTAACCATTTAATAATAAAAGAATCCTATATATGAAACCTAAAAAAGATCTTACAAGAAATATTGACAACAAACTTCAACTATCAAAATCCAAGAAGGTCTCTAATCAGTCATTTTGTTTTCTGGAGCAGACACAAAATCGAATGGGCATAACAGAGGACTTTGCGAAACCTATGCATTAGGTTATGAAGACATCCTTCCAGAATTAGGGGCAATTGTGAACCTACACAAAAAGTTTCAAGAAATATCCCATTGACACAAGAAGAAATGATCAAAAATAACATTCGAAAGCAAGTCTAAAACCAATCACTTATTCAATAAAATCCCTTTTTCTTCACCTTTTCAAAGGAAGGCTTACCTTACTGTGAAAAGAGTAAAAAGTGTACTTACATCTTTAGAATCTTTCGAGTCCTTGTTTTTTGACCAGAGAAGTTTCCTTTTCTGGACCTGTTCTGCATACTTCAATGGATTCACTGCAGCAGGATTATAATACTTAGGAACAGTAACTCCAGTTAATTCTTGAGCCTAAAACAAAGATTGGGAGTGATCAAAATGTAATTTAACAAATGAAAAAAAAATCACAGTACTTTATTGAAATATTCCTGATGTTGGAACATAAGGCCATCATAAATCAGCTGTGTAATTCTCTGTTCAGTATAAGCTGTTCATACCGGCCCCTGTATAATCCAGATACCTATTCATTCTCACCTTTCCAGTATGGTTCTGTTATTTTTCCTCTTTAATTAATTAATTTAATAGTTTGCAAAATCACCTCTTACTCGTAAATGTTGCAAATATAAATGTTGTATGTGATATCAAGGATGGATTAGAAACTGAGGAGACTTTCTCGGGTGATTGGGAAAGAGATTTGGTGACTGACTTTCTAAATGACAAAACACAGGATGATGATAATGTTGACAATGAAACTATTGAGCTGGAGGTTGGACATGACCTACAGATGTCTATACATATCTCCCAAAACTCTTCTAGTTTGCCATTAATAAAGACAATTCATACTTAAAAGGACATTTCTGACTTGAAAACAATGACAGAAAACATTATCTGCCATCTCTCAAAGAAAAAGTACAATGCATTGCATAAGTTCAGACGATGATGTCCATACCATAACCATATCAATACTTCTATCAACATTTCAATTATTAAAACATGACCAAGCAGCTTTACCTTTTGGTGCATAGCAGCCATAGTTTGCAGCAAAGCCATCTGTGGAGTTACACCAGAGGCTGTAGCAGAATTGACAGATGCAGCCATCGCCTTCAGAATGTTGGACTGACTCATGGCCATATTATTTGGCTTTTCCAAGGTACTGGCTGAAAGCAGAAAAGTTGATATTTTACTAAAGATCAAGTCAGCAGTAACGCCCATCTAATTAAGTGTAGTAAGTTTATAGAAGTCCATTAACACAACCCCACTGTCCAAGTATTCTTTTTACTCATTTCAATCCCCACATCACTATGAAGTAATAGAAGTGACAAGTAAATAACTATCTATAAAGGGAACATTTTAAAATTCATATACAATTTTCATTTGGCTCACTTTCCAAACAAGCTGATGAATAGCTAAAGCTCATTTTGGTTCAATATTCAACAGTGACAAGTTTAATACTACTTCAACTAGATTGGTTTGAATATAGAATATGACAAAATCGATTGGTTTGAATATAGAATATGACAAAACCTATTTCATAAAACTAAAACATATCTATAAGAACCAGAATCAGATCAAATTTTGAGCATAAAAGTAGTGATACTTCATGGGGTAGGTATCAACCCGATCTAATGAGAGGTTCTGCAAACAACTATATCTGTTGAAAAATTCTGCAGATCTATTTTATCACACTGATTTAAAATAGGACAGAGAGACATAAGTAATTCTACATTTGTATATACCTATCCTCCCCCATACTTAGGTGTTAAATGATTTCAGCCACGCCCATATAATCTAGCCACTTTGTAAGATCAATTTTCACACCAAGGGATATATCTCCAGGGACATTTCTCTCATTTTCTCTCCCTCCCCACTCCTCCAGTTTCAATAAAAAAAAATTAAGTTAAAAGAACAGACACTCAAAGCAGAAATAAACTACAAAATCGCCTATAAATGAATGTCCAAGCTCCTGATAACCATTATTCATGAAATCAAAAAGATACATACCTTCGGTGGATTCTCCATTTTTCAATATTTTGCTGGCTTTGAGAAGTTGTTGTCTCATTTGCTCTTTGAAAGTCATTGGTTTCTCTTTGTAACCATACCCACTACCACTACTACTACTGATAGTTGAAGCAAGCTCTACCGGCCTTCCAGTCCTTTCTCTGCTGTGACTTCGACTGCGCTTATGCCTATCCCTACTTCCACTTCGACTACGATGTCTGTCTCTACTTCGGCTGCGATTGTGTCGGTCTCTGCTACGACTACGACTGCGAGATTTACGCCCTTTGCTTCTCCTTCTCTTGCCTCTGGACCGACTGTGACTACGCCTACGGTGGTGACTGCTTCTCTTCTTTCTGTCTCTACTGTGGCTCCTCCTCCTTTTTCTTCTGCGATTTCTGTCCCTACTGTGGCTCCTTCGATCTTTAGAACCATGTCTGCGATGTCGTCTGTGACGATCACGTGACCTTGATCGACCATGTCTATGCCTTCTGCTTCTAGATGAGCTTCGATCCTGAAAGATTTGAAAGTTGACATTCTATATAAGCATTTTATTCTAATATCAACTTGAAAACAATACACATTTAAAAAGAAAAAGGTATTTTCTTTACTTATGTTTGTAATTAACCATAATGCATTCTTCAATTACCAACATATAAAATCAGAATTGAAACAAAAGCATAGTTTGTCAAAGTGTCTGCATGATATGTAATACACAGATAATAAATGCATCGAACCCTTCTTCCAGGAGAATGGTGGGATCTGGATTTCCTTCCTTTAGATCTTGATCTTGACCGAGACCTAGACCTTGAATGCGATTTTCTCTTCCTCCCCAAGGTGGGTGACCTTGACTTTGACTTTGAAACTCTCTTAGGACTAGTTGATGATCTCGATGTTGCTGTTTGCGCAACCTTCTTTTCCCTTTTCTTTCTTTCCACTGAAGAAGCAGATGACGACCGTGAACTTCTGCTTGATGACCTTGAAGATGCTGATGATGACCTAGATCTGGATCTCGAAGCTCTTGCCACCTGTAGAAAAAAAATTTCAAAATCTGTATAATTAGTTATAACTCATAAATTAATTACCTTTATGAGGAATACATAACAGTAGCTTAATTAAATCAAGATTAATTCTCATAATGGCAAAAACATAATCCGCTGAAAAATAACATACCCCCATACTAAATCATTAAATCTCAACTGCTTTTAAAGCTAATCCAGCCTTTCTTGCACAATATAAATCCATGATCACGTGATGAGCTCACCATTGACTTTAATGTTGTTTGTGAGAAAAATTTACTACATTGTGCTGAACTATTCTGCATATATTTAAAGGCTTTTTTCATAAAACTCCATCCCAGCACTCCAGAATTTGTTAAAGGATATTAACCATGGATTTGAGAATTTCATTTAATCAGAGACAGAATGAGAAGTCATTTGTTTTCGAGTCCTTAAACTCTAAAAGGTTGTTTCACTAAAAATAAGCCATGATAAAGAACTGCAAGCAGAACAGACTTATCCAGTTAATGTAAAGATCAGGTTGTGATATCATTATCTAAAAGTGTATTGTTGTCTGGCAATGACTTTAAACAGAACATTGCTCAACATGCTTTACTATCCACAGTGGACAACTGTTTAGTTAGCGACTAAAATAAAGATAGTCTGAATAAACTCACTTGTGATATTTAAAAGAAATGTTCAAACAAAGAAAAGGAAACAGAAATAATTTGCTATCATGAAGAGAGCAAAACATCACAGAAAATAAGTTTTACAAACACTAGATTTGTGTTACATCCGTGAAAACACCTTGGGGGGAAAATGAAGTGAAATAACAAAAGGAGGAGAGGTCGATCTGCTATTGAAAATGTAATGAAAAAATTAACAAATACAATTAACATAAAATGGTAATATTTACAAGAACAATAGAAATGTTTCTAGACAGGAAAACTCAAAATCTATCAAAGGATGACAAGAAGGGAGCTGACAATGGCCACAGTGACATACAAAAGACTAAGAACCAACAGAACAATGGATCCACAAAAAACAGGGTTTTTTTTAAGGAGTGTAATTTTCATGAATGTGGTCATGGTTCAGAATTCTCAGTAACCTTTTTTTTTTAACTTATTTACATACACGTATCATAATTCATTCATGTCCGACATATGTAGTCTCTTCCTGTTCTTTATTTCTCAGATCATTCATAACTTGATAGAGGCATGAGATTTTCAAAAATAGAAAAGTATAAAACAGTATCAGCTATCTCTGTATATGTTCCCAAAGGAAAGTAAATACACAACTTCTTGGAACATTTTGAGGCAATATCATTACAAAACCTGGCAGCTGTATACTTGTCTCATATGACAAAATAAAATCAAGAACATCTCCAATTTGATTCAAGTAAACATCACTCTTTATGTATATATATGTGTGGACACATAAAAGCTGCTGTAAATTTCAAGTAAGAAAATCACTAGATTCTAATATAATTATTTCCACTAATTTACTCTTACATTCTATATTTATTACCAAAAGGTAAAAACAATGCCCTCCTTGATACATCCATTTCCAGTGCAAATAAGCAAACCACTTCAACTTCTTTACATAGCAAAATAGAGTAACTCTGTGAATCTGGATTTTTGATATAACATTTGCCAATCAGATAACTACAGTGAAGAATGTTTTGTGATTCCTTGCAGCAGACAACAAATTTTATTATTGGTTAACAAATCAGTTATATGAAAGATCTGTGAAACATCCAAGACTGCGTATACTAACTTTGTTCTTTGAGAAATACAGTTTGTAAAATAAAGCATGAGCCAACAATCAAAATATTGGCAGTATCGTTTAGCATCAGAGACACTGATTATAAAATGTCTTCATATCAAGAACATCTTAACAATGTCATTGTCTACACTCAGTAACACAGTAACATTAAGATAAAAGGACATGTACACAAGTAGGTGCCTTTGGCACCAGGTCAAAGATAATCAACTTGCATTTGTGACAATTTGCTTTGTACCTACTGTAACCGTCTCCTCTACTTACCCACAGATAGCATCAACGAAGGGCAACAAAACAAGCACTGTTGTTGTTGCCCATTTTTTCTCCACTTGCAGGATTCACAGGAAAACCTATTTGATATCACAAGTAGTAGGTAAGATTATTGAAGAAAAAAAACTGCCTTCTTTTTTGGGCAGTTATCCCAGCTTATCAACTTTTTGTAACTGAAGTTTGTTCAATAATATGTTCAGTCTTCTAATCCAACAGAAATCTAACCCACAACTATAAGTTAAACCTTAATCTTTCCTTACATCACTACATCTACTTAATATGAAGTGCTGTAAAATCTTCCACCTTCCAGGTTATGAATGTCGTATAATTCCTCTCTTCTTTCATTGATATTACATAAAGCAACAGTACATTCTTACATTTTTTTTTCTCAAAAATGTATGAAACTTTGTAATATCGTTTCTCAGATCTTTCAAGATTACAATGCAACTTTTTAAACGACACAAAGGAAGATTTTCAGCACATGGTAAATCAAGAGAGCCATGATCATTCTGTTTAATCCTAAACCTGAAAATGACAGCTTGATCAAAGAAACAAGAAACAGTTGCTAGCATCCAAGCTCATCAATGACTTATTGTGTTAATGTTTTCTACTGATGTATCATTACATGTGTCTGAATGAGAGCAATATCATACCGACTCACACAGAATATGAACTTTCAGCAGCTGACCAAGCTGCCATTTTCAGGTATTATTTGTCACATCTGAACCTGTAGTGATGCCCCAACCCTCATTGTAGTTGCAGCCTATCGTGACCAAGGCTACATTTCTAATCATTTTACTGTACCTCTGAAGGCAACACATTGTTGTCCTGGACCTCTTCGAATGAGAATACCATCTTGTTTGGGGCATCTGAAAAGAGAGAGCAAACCATATAACCATACTTTAAATAAAAGAATTTTTTAAACACTATTTTGTAGGTTATAATTGATGACTAAAAAATAAATGTTGTCGTCATCACAAGAATATCCAAACAATAATTAATGCATTGCTATATATGATGAAAGATTTTTCTTAAGGGGGTCAGGTGTTTGGAATATTTGCAAGAGCAAAAGACAGATTAATATGTTGGCTTAGTTAAGAAAAGATTGATCATTACATCAGGACTGCCACAGGTACCAAGGTAACAAATTTGGGTTGGAGTTCTTTGTTTTGCTTATTTGTACATTTTCTAAACTGCTACATAACACAAAAAGTTGGAGACATTCTTGCTCTAGAGCTTTGGTAGCTTTAACACAATGTTTTATTCACTCAACAGACAATAAAATGCTTCACAGCCATTATCGAGGAATTTCAGTTCAGGAAAATATTTCCAGTTATTGGAAAAGAATATAAAACAAACATTGATTAATGATAATGTTCATATAATCAAGTTTTCAAGTTTCTTTAATGTGTATTATTTATAGAAGAAATTATGGTTAAAATGTTTTTCCGTCATGTTCAAAGCATATACAAACAGTTTCCACGATGAAAGCAAGGGATCATCACTCAATAAATATAATTGAAAATAATAATGTAATACTAGCCTACACTGCCAGCAATGCTAGGACCATTTGAAATGCTGTACAGGTCTGGTTGCAAAGATTGGGTACTGTGGGCAGAAAATTTTTGTTTCCTAAATCTGTCAGGGCTGTCGATCTGCCAGATTTGGGGCTGATATACAGCCCCATTCCTAATGCCAAATACTATCTTTTTTTCCTAATTTAGACCCCAAGTTTTCCCAATTCTAAGGAAAACACCATTATTTTTTCCTAATTCTAAGGGCCTCAGTCCCAAAATGGGGTGTGAGAGCCCTGTCTGTATTCTAATTTTTATTAACTGCAGTAATCAAGTGTAACTGTATTGACATTATAACAAACACAAACCTGGTTGTAGCTTGAAATCAGCTGATTTTGGTTCATCCCCACCACTGCTCTCAGTGAAGCTCATTGTTCGAGACTTGTTGAGCCCAGGATATGCAATGATACCACTTTGGAGAAAACTTGCTGGGTCCACAGCTGTTGCTCCAAGGGCAGAGACAGTGTCTGGACTTTTTCCTCCTCCTATCATTTTCTCAAAGGAATCCCATTCTGCCTGCAGGTTTGATGGAGTTGGTTTGCCCTGAAACACATCATTACTTTCGTGCTGAACATTAAGTTATCAACACTAGAGACAGCAGTTAATCAACTGCACTTGTAATTTTACTTCATATTTAATTAATATTTTTAGAGATCTGATTGAATTCTGTAATCATTTTTTTACAATAATATAGTTGAACTGATACTCTTGCAGCTATGAAATATTATGGTAAATAATATATATCATATTTTTTCTTTAAAAACCTGATTCATTAAAGCATTATCTGCATATAATCCAGTGCAATGAAAGCAAAGCCTACAAAAATGAATGAATATATCATAAACTGAGCGAGTTTTACCGTCCAACAACCTAGTGACTTCATGTACTTACGACACCACTTCTTTTTCAGGAAGATGCCACAGCCAAACAAGGAGTCTTGATCGCAAGTCATGTTTGACTTCATGTTTAAAATGTGAAAGTAAAAGCTAGTTACAAATGTTCCTTTTATTTTATGGAACTAAATTTAATTTCATAGAACTATAAAATAGTCTTATATAATCTGAATAACCAACATATAAAGTTTATGCTTCAAGATTGAGTATGAATGATTTATAGAAAATACACGCAGTAAATAATGTTTAATAACAACTGCAGCTTTTACACATATATCTATGTATATATATCATCATGCATGTTTTAGTCAAGAAATTACATCAAATACAACAAGCAAGTGTACAGACGGAGCCTTTGTTTGTAGGCTAACTCGGGAAATGGTTTGGGTGAAAGAAGGGGGTATTTTGTGTTTTATTTATTAATACTCTATGCCCATGACATTATAATAATATGACAACGCAGGCGTTGTAAGAAAATCAGTGAATTTGATTTTGGCAGGATTTAGAAACAAGAAGCTCAGCGACCTTATCGATCTACAATCTTATGTGTCATTCATCGGCCTGCGGAAGGTAAATTTTAGTCGGCCATTTTGTGAAACTTTTCTGTTTGATTTCAATATTTCACTAAATATAATCGACGACCACATATCTTTGCAAAGACGTTCAAAGAAAATTGAAATTCTGAAGATACTTACTGACTCTCCTTTCTTCTCATTGAGACTATTACTGGAATTTTCGGCATCTTCGCCGTAATCTGCAAGAAACTCCATAGCCCCAGTGGAATGTGTGTCCTACGATTTGCAGTGCCCGGATGATAGTACGTCACAAATCGTACGTCAAACAAGCATTTTTTTCTGAGGTCTCTTCTGAACCAGAATTCTTGACGAACACTACGAAAGTGACTTTTGACATACAAATACCAATATATCAATAATACGAACCATTTTTGTTGATGTGATATTAATATCATATACAGTGATATCTATATAAGTTTCGATTGTAAACTTCTGAGGTGATAAAACACACTGGTAGTATGTACCATAGATATGTACTCCCCATGCGGAGTGCAGAAATATATGTCGTATGAGGAAACTGTTGCCAATATTAAAGGAAAATGTTAAATGTTTGATCATGGACTTGAAAGTTAGTAATTAATAACAGCTGTCGTAATTTCACCTTGTCGCTTACAATTTGATTAATTGCGTCTCAAAATTCACACTAGGGAAATGAAATCTAAACTGAGATGCGATTTCATAAATATGGCAAGCCATTGAAGCGGTTCAACAAGTTCCTTTAAATAAATTAAACGTTAGGTAATACTATAAACTTGTATTTAAGTATATAGAAAACCGCACGCAATACTAACATATCTTCAGTCATACATTTGATTTGCTTTGGTACTCAGAAAAATTACAATTTGATATCAATACACAGAAAAGTTACATTTTGATATCAATATTCAGAAAAGTTATATTTTGATATCAATAAACAGAAAAGTTACATTTTAATATCAATACACTGAATAGATACATTTTGATATATCAATATTCAGAAAAGTTACATTTTGATGATGGTACTCAGAAATGTTACATTTTTATATCTGTTCTAAGAAAAGTTACATTTTGATATCAGTATACAGAAAAGTTAAATTTTGATATCAATACACAGAAAAGTTACATTTTGATGATGGTACTCAGAAATGTTACATTTTTATATCTGTTCACAGAGAATTTACATTTTGATATCAGTACACAGAGAAGTTACATTTTGATATCAATACTCAGGAAAGTTACATTTTGATATCAATACACAGAAAAGTACATTTTGATATCATTACACAGAAAAGCTACATTTTGATAATAATACACAGAAAATTTACATTTTGATATCAGTACACAGAAAAGTTACATTTTGAAAATAGTACTCACAAAAGTTACAATTTGATATCAATACTCTGAAAAGTCGCATTTTTAAATCAATAATTAGAAAAGTTACATTTTGACATCAATATTCAGAAAAGTTACATTTTGATATCAATACTGAGAAAACTTACATTATGATATCAGTAATTAAAAAAGTTACATTTTGATATCAGTACACTGAAAAGTTACATTTTGATATCAGTACTCAGAATAGTTACATTTTGATATCAGTACACAGAAAAGTTACATTTTTATATCAGTACACAGAAAAGTTAAATTTTGATATTAGTACACAGAAAAGTTACATTTTTATATTAGTTTTCACAAAAGTTACATTTTGATATCAGTACTAAGAAAAGTTACATTTTGATATCAATATTGAAAAGTTACATTTTGATATCAGTACACAGAAATGTTACATTTTGATATCATGTACACAGAAAAGTTACATTTTGATATCAGTACACAGAGAAGTTACATTTTGATATCAATACACAGAAAAGTTACATTTTGATATCAGTACACTGAAATGTTACATTTTGATATCAGTACACAGAAAAGTTACAGTTTGATATCAGAACACAGAAAAGTTACATTTTTACATCAGTACACAGAAAAGTTACATTTTGATATCAGTACACAGAAAAGTTACATTTTGATATCAGTACTCAGAAAAGTTAAATTTTGATATCAGTACACAGAAAAGTTACATTTTGATATCAATACTCAGAAAAGTTACATTTTGATATCAATACACAGAAATGTTACATTTTGATATCAGTACACAGAAAAGTTACATTTTGATATCAATACACAGAAAAGTTACATTTTGATATTCAATATTCAGAAAAGTTACATTTTGATATCAATATTCAAAAAAGTTACATTTTGATATCAATACTCAGAAAAGTTACATTTTGATATCAATACACAGAAAAGTTACATTTTGATGATGGTACTCAGAAATGTTACATTTTTATATCTGTTCACAGAGAATTTACATTTTGATATCAGTACACAGAGAAGTTACATTTTGATATCAATACTCAGGAAAGTTACATTTTGATATCAAGTTACATTTTGATATCATTACACAGAAAAGATACATTTTGATAATAATACACAGAAAATTTACATTTTGATATCAGTACACAGAAAAGTTACATTTTGATATAGTACACAGAAAAGTTACATTTTGATATCAGTACTCAGAAAAGTTACATTTTGATCTTAGTACACAGAGAAGTTATATTTTGATATCAATACACAGAAAAGTTACATTTTGATATATCAATACACAGAAAAGTTACATTTTGACATCAGTACTCTGAAAAGTTACATTTTGATAATAGTACAAAGAAAAGTTACATTTTGATATCAGTACACAGAAAAGTTACATTTTGATATCAGTACACAGAAAAGTTACAGTTTGATATCAGTACACAGAAAAGTTAAATTTTTATCAGTACACAGAAAAGTTACATTTTGATATTCAGTACACAGAAAAGTTACATTTTGATATCACTACACTGAAATGTTACATTTTGATATCAGTACACAGAAAAGTTACAGTTTGATATCAGAACACAGAAAAGTTACAGTTTGATATCAGAACACAGAAAAGTTACATTTTGATATCAGAAAAGTTACATTTTGATATCAGTACACAGAAAAGTTACATTTTGATATCAGTATACAGAAAAGTTACATTTTGATATCAGTACACAGAAAAGTTACATTTTGATATCAGTACACAGAAAAGTTACATTTTGATATCAATACACAGAAAAGTTACATTTTGATATCAGTACACAGAAAAGTTACATTTTGATATCAATACACAGAAAAGTTACATTTTGATATCAACACAGAAAAGTTACATTTTGATATCAATACACAGAAAAGTTACATTTTGATATCAGTACACTGAAAAGTTACATTTTGATATCAGTTTACATTTTGATATCAATACACAGAAAAGTTACATTTTGATATCAGTACACAGAAAAGTTACATTTTGATATCAGTACACAGAAAAGTTACATTTTGATATCAGTATACAGAAAAGTTACATTTTGATATCAGCACTCAGAAAAGTTACATTTTGATATCAGTACTCAGAAAAATTACAATTTGATATCAATACACAGAAAAGTTACATTTTGATATCAATGTTACATTTTGATATCAGTACACAGAAAAGTTACATTTTGACATCAGTACACAGAAAAGTTACATTTTGATATATGTACACAGAAATGTTACATTTTGATATCAATACTCAGAAAAGTTACATTTTGATATCAATACACATTTTTACATCAGAAAAAGTTACATTTTGATATCAGTACACAGAAAAGTTACATTTTGATATCAATACACAGAAAAGTTACATTTTGATATCAGTACTCAGAAAAGTTACATTTTGATATCAATATTAAAAAAAGTTACATTGTGATATCAATACACAGAAAAGTTACATTTTGATATCAATACTCAGAAAAATTACATTTTGATATCAATACACAGAAAGGTTACATTTTGATATCAATATTCAGAAAAGTTATATTTTGATATCAATACACAGAAAAGTTACATTTTGATATCAGTACACTGAAAAGTTACATTTTGATATCAGTACTCAGAATAGTTACATTTTGATATCAATACACTGAAAAGTTACATTTTGATATCAGTACTCAGAAAAATTACAATTTGATATCAATACACAGAAAAGTTACATTCTGATATCAATATACAGAAAAGTTAAATTTTGATATCAATACACAGAAAAGTTACATTTTGATATCAATACATTTTGATATCATTACATTTTGATATCAATACAGAAAAGTTACATTTTGATATCAACACAGAAAAGTTACATTTTGATATCAATACACAGAAAAGTTACATTTTTATATCAGTACACAGAAAATTTACATTTTTATATCAGTACACAGAAAAGTTACATTTTGATATAGTACTCAGAAAAGTTACATTTTGATATCAGGACACAGAAAAGTTACATTTTGATATCAATACTAGAAAAGTTACATTTTGATATCAATACTTCAGAAAAGTTACATTTTTATCAATACTCAGAAAAGTTACATTTTGATATCGTAATTAAAAAAAGTTACATTTTGATATCAGTACACTGAAAAGTTTCATTTTGATATCAGTACTCAGAAAAGTTAAATTTTGATATCAGTACACAGAAAAGTTACATTTTGATATCAGTACACAGAAAAGTTAAATTTTGATATCAGTACACAGAAAAGTTACATTTTGATATCAGTACACAGAAAATTTACATTTTTATATCAGTACACACAAAAGTTACATTTTGATATCAGTACAAGAAAAGTTACATTTTGATATCAATACACAGAAAAGTTACATTTTGATGAGAAAAGTTTCATTTTGATATCAGAACACAGAAAAGTTACATTTTTACATCAGTACACAGAAAAGTTACATTTTGATATCAGTACACTGAAATGTTACATTTTGATATCAGTACACAGAAAAGTTACAGTTTGATATCAGAACACAGAAAAGTTACATTTTTACATCAGTACACAGAAAAGTTACAGTTTGATATCAGAACACAGAAAAGTTAAATTTTGATATTAGTACACAGAAAAGTTACATTTTTATATCAGTACACAGAAAAGTTACATTTTGATATCAGTACACAGAAAAGTTACATTTTGATATCAGTACACAGAAAAGTTACATTTTGATATCAATACACAGAAAAGTTACATTTTGATATCATACACAGAAAAGTTACATTTTGATATCAGTATACAGAAAAGTTAAATTTTGATATCAATACACAGAAAAGTT